CTATAGTAATTTATATATAGAACTGCGTCACGTTTCACTATGATCATTCTTCAGTTGACTGGAGAATCGTCAATTAATAATATAATTTAGGTCAAAGTAATAATGCCAGACAGGATTAATTAATAGGAGATATAGTCAAACCTCTATTATCATCTCTCAATAATCATATTTGCTTATAATTACAAATTTTTAAAAAAATTTAATCTCTATATAAAATCTTAAAACTAAGAGTATAAATATAGAGAAGTTTGACTATATATAAAACTGAAAAATTCTGAAAAAAAAATGATCAAATATAAAATATGAATAAGGATAAAAAAACATTTAAGTAAATATTTAATAATTTCTAAAGATAAAAATTTGACCTTAGCTATTAGCCAGCCGCTTAGCTGATTTTTTTACCAGCTGGCTTAGCTAGCTAATAAAAACTTTATAGTTTATAATACTAGCTGATACATACTAACTTCTTTTAATTTACTTTTTTCATCAACAACCTCTTTTGATTTATCTTTTTTATCAACAACCTCTTTTGATTTACTTTTTTTATCAACAACCTCTTTTGATTTACCTTTTTTATCAATAACCTTTTTTGATGTATCTTTAATATTACTAAATTTATTAAAGGTAGCCAGTTGATATGCTTTTTGTCAAATTTAAAATTAGCATTAGTTTCATTTAATTATAATTAAACAAACAGTATTACTATCTTTATCTGTACTGCTAGAAAAGTTTTTTGATTGTAAATATATATAATATATATTAAACTATACTGAAGTTTACTGGGTTCAGCAATAGCTTCATAGTTGTTATCAGAAGTATCTTCTAGATTATCACTATTAGGATTATCCAGATTGTTACTATCAGAGGTATTCTGATTATTAGAGTCATCCTAGTTAACAGAGTCATCCTGGTTAGCAGGATCATTCTGGTTAGCAAGATTATCTTAGTTAGCATGATCATTTTGATTAGCAGGATTATCTGAATTAATAGAGTTATCTAAGTTAGCAGAGTCATCTAGATTAGTAGAGTCATCTAGATTAGTAGAATTATCCAAGTTAATAGGGTCATCTGAGTTAATAGAATTATTTGATTAATAGAGTTATCTAAATTAGTAAGATTATCCAGGTTATTTGGATTAGAGATATCATTATCACTATTGGTCGTGAGAGCATTATGATAAAGATATAATCTGGATGTTATCCAATTCACTGATATCTTGTATATTTCTTTTTTATAATAGATACTTTTTCTGCTAAGTATAAAATATTTTTTAACTATAGGTCAATTAATGAAAAATTCTTTTTTAAAAAATTATATATACATATATAAGTATTGCTGAAGAAAACAAATTATATATATAGGTGTTGTCAAAGAAAAAAAAAATTTATTAGATTTAGCTATCGACAATATATACAGAATTGGTAAATAGACCAATTTGACCAATTTGACTAATGTTTTTATATATTATTAAAATTTTTTAATTATATTAATATTAAATTTTAATAATGGCTAAAAAATTAGTCAAATTGATCAAATTGATCTATTTGTCAATTCTAATATAATATATATGTAATATTAGATTTTTTTTTTACCTTTTACAATAACTTCTTTGAGGCTAAAGTTTTTATTCAAGTATTAAGTCAAGAGCTTGCGGCTGAAACCTTAAAGGAACCCTTTTACATTAGAAAGTATATTCTAGCCATACCTATACCTTTTGAGCATTTAATTAAGTAGTTCCCTATTACTAAGTCCTATACTAAATGCCATGCCTGTAACCTACTATTACTTGAATTACTTAATTAAACTCTCTGTAACGCAACTTGTACCTGTATCACTATTACATCTCTGCTACATATGTCAGTCGAGAAGTCCTAAATTCTTTACCTATTCCTTTAGGACTACTTTATCCTCAAGGTATTATTGCTAGAGCTTTCCATACCCACAATTCGGCTAACCTAGATTCAGTAACTTACGTCAAGTCCAAGGACAAGTACTTGCGAGCCAAGGCCACTACCGTTACCTACTTCCGCCCTTGTAGAGTTCATTCAAACCCCAGCACCCACTATACAAACTACCAACTATACTTTTAGTTTTCCCCAAACTTCTAATCCAGATGACCCAGAAGGGTGGACTTTTCCTCTGGCTGATTCAGCAGGCTAGTTGGTATAATGCTTGCCAAACATCTCAGTCCTGTTTGGTTTTTCCCTTTTTTTAGATGATTTTCCTTTATATAATACTATTGAAAGTCTGTGTTACCTCTCTACTTGGGTCTTGCCAAGCAGACTTCCATATACTCTACACCTCTGAATTTATCTAGCTGCTTCACTTAGGATTCATATAACTCATTCATCACACTAATATTCCACAGCCTCCCAGTATGAGCTGGAATAACAAAGACTACAGATCCATTGATCTGTGTAGTTGTACACAGTATACCATAATGCATTCTATAAAATTTGAATTTCATCGCCAGTAGGATTTGCACTCTTGTTTTGCCGCTTGAGGGTGTAACAACTTACCAACTTCACTAAGTCGTCACATCCATCAATATTAGATTTTTTAAAGATTAAATCTAATAATAACAATAATAAAATTAAAGCCTGAAGTCTTATTTCTCTTAATAGTACTAGGACCTCGAAGAACTTTAATATAACTCAGATATTACTAAAAAAAAGAATTTTGCATAAAAATTCATTAAATATTGCATTTTATATAATAAATATTTTAAATTTTGGTTTATTTTATACATCTATTTAGCTGATATTATACAAACTTAAATTTGAGTTGTATCACAATTCTTTGAGATCCTACAGTATTTATATTATTATACTTTATATAAAATTAGTCTAAAATTAAAAATAATTACTTAAAGATAAGCATAATACTAATATTTATATAGGTTTAAATCTTACATTCTAGGATTGCTAGCATTTATCTAGCACTTTGACACAGATAAAAAGATAGCAAACCAGATATAAATTAGGCACCTGTTTTTAAACTGATTACTAATTGATTACTACCTGATTTATATTTATTGTTATGCCAAATTATTAGTATAACAATTAATATAAATCAAATAGTAATCAGTTAATAATCAATTTAAAATTAGGTGCCTGATTTATATCTGGTTTATCATCTTTTTACCTGTGTAACTACTCGATCATTGTGGTTATTTCACTATTTTGATCTCTATCTCTCTGCTCTCTATTGGCCTTTTTGATATCTGTATCAAAAATTTCATCACTATAGTAATTTCAAATCTCCAGCTAATATTAGCAACTGCTTGTTTTTGAGATATTTGTTTGTATAAATTTTTGTATAAGAAGCAACTTTTTGTTTTTACTAAATAGTTAAAGCTATTTTTTTTTTTTTTTTTTTAACTAGCCTCTTTGGCATGAAGGTTTTTATTCAAGTATAACAGATCAGGAGGCTCATAACGGAACCTCATTTATATTAGAAAGTACAAATAGCTATACATGCAACTTTTGATTGCCTATTTAAGTAGTTTGCCACAATAAACTATAAGGACTACACTATTTACTATACCTATAACCCAACTAGTAGATTACCTATTTAATCTCTCTGTAATGTACACAATCTACTTGTGATCACTGGGATATCTTTATTACATTTGTCAGTCAAGAAGTATCAAATACTTACCATAGCTTTAGGACAAATTTATTCTCGAAGCATCATTGCTAGAGCTTTTCATACCTAAAATCTGGCTAATTTAGACTTCGGTAACTTATGCTAATTCTGAGGACAAGTACTTGCGAGCCAAGGCTACTATCATTACCTACTTCTGCCCTTGTAGTATTTATCCAAACTCCAGTACCCACTTTACAGACTATTACTAAAACCTCTGACGTTTCTAAACTACCAATCTAGATAGCCTGAAGAGGACTTTTGTCTGCAGGTTTATTGGTCTTCTGGTATTCTGTAGTTAAGCAGATCCTTTTCCTTTAGTTTTGGCAGCCAGATTGGTAGAGTATCTCTCCAAACACCTGTTATTCAGTATTTTCAAACTTCTAATCTAGTTGGCCTGAAGGAGACTTTCGCCTACAGGTTTACCAGTCCTCTAGTATTTTGCAGTTAAGCAGATTCTTTTATTCTGGCTCCAGCAGTCTGATTGGTGGAGTGTTTTGCTATATACTTCGGTTCTGTTCAGTATTTACTAGTTCCTTCAATAATAGTTCTTTATATAGTACTGTTAAAGATCTGTGCTACCTCTCTACTCAGAGCTTGCTAAGCGAACATTCATATTTCTGGTTTCTCAGATTAATATGATCATCGAACTTTCTTCATATAACTCATGCATAACACAAATGCTTTATGATCTCCCAATCAAGTTGGTGCTACTAAGGTTACAGAGATTCTGTTTCAACTGATCGATGAAAGACAATAGCTGTCATACAAGTAGAATTTTCAAAATTTGTCACCAATGGGTTTCAAACCCTCTACCTGACCGACAAGTTGCTTGGAGGTGCGACAACTTACCAACTTCACTAAGTCACCACACCCTTGTTAAAGCTACTTCTTTGTCTTAATATTTTTTAATAAAATAAATTAAAATGAATTAAGTAAAAATGAAATAAAAATAATAAAATAATAATAATAATATAAATAATAAATAATATTAATAATAATCACTCTTTCCAACGATCCTCTGGTCAACAATAACAAAAACCAAACTACAGCAAAATGTATAGAAAAGCGATGAAGTGGATACTAAAACTTGGTTCTATAAGTAGGAGCAGTTTGTTGTCGACGAAGTCTAAGCTGTCTAAACATGAAATACCAAGAAGCAGACACTAAAAGAACGGATGGTTTTCTTTGGAGTCAAGTTTTCTTTCTGGCGGACTCCCCAAAGTATTTGGCATCCAAACCAGAAGGTTTATTCTAGGAACAAGTCTGTAGA